ATTAAACGTAGCTATTAAATATACAGTAAATTTCTATTTACGTTACTTTGTATCTGCATCAATGCTGATGATTCAGAAATATTTAAAAGCGATAATAAAGGCTTGAAAAATTGCTTAGCAACATATTAGGTTTTTAAAAATGAGAAAAATTTTAATGTTAATATTATTGCTATCAGGACAGTGCGATCTTTAAGACCTCCAATTAAGCTGCAGTAAAACAATTACAAAATTGCCAAAATTATTCAGAAAAAGTCAAAATTTCTATTATACAGTCCTAAACTAAGCTAAAGTAAATCTCGTATCAACTTTAATGGACTCCATGAAAACAAAAGAGAACAAAATAAAATGTATATATAATTAATGTAAAAACAATTTATCAAAGCAACATGCCTCCAGCTTCATGCAAATTTTCTTTAAAATTTAAAAATTATTTAAAATTAAAAAATTCTGAAGTAAACAAAGAAAGTAATTTACACATTGAAAACGACACAAAAAAGAGGCCAAAATATGCAAATAGAGCCCCATAGAAGAAATATAGTAGAAATATATTGGTAAATACTTCAAAATCAGTCATTAATCGCACATAACATGTTAATTATTACATACATTTTTCACAAGTTTGTTTTTCTTGAAATATTTTGGCTCATCTGGAATTGCATGCAGTTATAATTAAGCAACAGTCACTTTACATAACATCATATCCACCTTCAACAACTGAAATTAAGGGCTTAAAAAAAACAACAATGAAAATATACAGTTATTACATTATCCTGCCCTTTTTTAATTGACATTTAAAAAGGCTGTAAACACTTGACATATTCATTATCATGACATCAGAATCCTGTTAGCCGAGTGCAGGTGGTGTTTGAATGGCCTTTGTGAAAAGTTTACATTTAATTTTTCAATCCCAAACATCAATATTTAGACTACTCCACTTCAAAATTCAATAACCTAAAACATTATATAGCTGTTATAATTGGGGTCATTGCCATTTTCAAACAACAAACATCATTTTCAAGAAAAAAGAAACAGTTAATGTTCTACATGAGATGAAATTAACAATTAAATGATGAAGATGAAAAAAACGTTAAACACTGTTGAAATTCTATGTTCTATAATTTATATAAGTGCTGTTTTCCATTATTTTTCATAAAACCTTTGGTTTTCACAGTCATGTATACAAAGTATTAAATTGTGGGGATATTTTTTTTATTTTTTTTTGCTTTTTTTTTCTTTGAAATGTTTTGGCATATGAGATGTGGAGGCATGTATCTTTAAAACAAACTTCCATTCAGTCTTAAAATAATTTGATAACTAAGTAACTACCTTACAAGTACTAGAACATCTTTTCAAGGTCTATAAATGCAATTCTACACATTGGCAGTTTTATTCCTAGAAATTTATTGTATTTTGGAAGTAATCCTACAACGTTGGCAAGACATCTTAATTAAAGACAATTCCACTCTGCTGTTCTTGGGGAACCTATTTTCTCGATTATTGTGTCACATGTAACGCTGTTACTGTAAACAGGCTACAAATTATTTATACTGTGACTGATTAACATTTCAACCTGGTATCTAAAGTCTATTCTTAACATAAGCAATAATATTTTCTTTCCAATGCACAAGCATGCAAGTGCTTAACTTGCATATACTGATGAAGGAATTTTCAATTAAAAATACGTCTCTTTTTTTCATAACCTTTTAAGTCGAGCAGATTATGTAATATTTTTGTATTTGTGTTGTTTATAAACACCTCTGAAATTGATCAGTCGAGTTCGTTCAATGGAATGGAAATATGCAAGTGAAAATAGGACGCTATCTCGGTCGCAACAAAATTTATGTCACCAAAGTTTATTCTTTCTAAAAATGTGAAATCATTTCAGGTAAAATTTAATGGGACGGTCGGTTATAGACACTGGCGACAAAGCTTCTCAGCGCATGCTGGGTCATTGATCTGATGCGTAAAAGCTAGCGATCTATCTTTGGTACTCTATGTCCGCCACATATTTAACAAAATACTAAACAAACACTTCAGTTACAGCCTACGAATATTTCATGTTGACATACCTCCTTCTCTTTGGAGATATATTTTTTAACGAGTGTCAGAATGGGACATATTTGATCATCATGAAAAAAAAAATTTAAACAATTTTAAAGAATAAAAGAGGAAACTATTGAAGAGCAATTTTAACTAAAGTTTTCATTGTTGAGCAACATTTTTCAAGTGAACGTCTGACAGAAACAAAGAAATACCAAATTTGTATTAATATACTCATGCTATAGTGCTTGTACTTTTATTTAACATAATGTCGTATTATTGAACAAAATGAATCATTGCAGAATGGGTGCTCCGAAAAGCATCTTCAACAGAGCATAAATACCACTATAAAACTTTTGAAAACTATCAGGAAAGGGGAAAATTCAGTACATGTGTGTGTATTCTAGGCATACGAGGGTCAATCCGCCTGTGGGGTCACAAAAAGCAGCTTTTACTGTCAATATGATATTGACCTCAGTGACCTCAGACTCCACTAAAGATGACCTTGACCTCACAAACCCTACCAAAGACTACAAGGACTAACTCTGTGTTACAGTCAATGAGAGAACAAGTAGAAAAATTTATTTTCAGCCCCAATGACCTTGACCCCATCTAAACAAGGAAACATTTATAATTATACTCCTTTCAAAACAAAACCCCTTGAACATGAAAAATTGCAATAGTCTTTCTGTAAGGAGCAGGTTTCCCTATCACTTTGCAAAGACAAAACCCAAAATAAAGGTTACCTTAAAGTACTGGATAAAGGAACAGTGTGACAAAAAATATTTAGAATGATTCACTGTTTACAAAAAAATGTCATAAAAAAGTAAAATCTTTCAACAGCTCCAATCAATGGAACCAGTCTGTTATGACAATGTGACAACAAGGAACCAGCCTATTTTGACACTATGACAGCCTGTTTACTCACACACAGTCTGTCAACAGGACATAGCAAGGCCAAAGGTTCATCTGCTGTTTATAATATAGATACATGTCATCTTGAGTTATATGTTATGAGGTAATTTTATATGTATATATTATAAGCTTATGCCAAGATTTAGGCTGGTGCTAACATAAACAACAATCAAATATTGTATAAATATTCCAGTCATATAATCTAAACAGAAACATTTGTCAGAATAATAAAATATAAGCCATTACAACATAAGCTTGATTTCAAATTACAATTTCAAACAACACTTATATATACAGTAAAAGAAATTTTTGTACAGTAAATGTGTAATACCTGACACATATACTTTAATCACTCATAAAAATATTCAGAGCTGAACTTATTAAACCATAATTAGAATTAATTTGAATGAATTATATACCAGTTTGTCGTAAGACAGTTTATTAATGTGCAACTTTTATGCAAACTAAGGTGCTAGGTCTGTGCTTAATTACTTCACTGTAATTGTCAGACTTATACATCAATGATGACTGATAGGACAAAAAATTAAACAGCAGAAGGAATCCAATTAATTTTCTTCATGACAAAATTACAGCAACAGAAGAACATGTTGGTAGTTAATTTTATTACACATGGTGACCATTCTAGCATTATTTCATGCATCATGATGCCTCCTCCTGTTTGGAGTGTCCTATGTGTTTTTTGTAAGCTTACTTGGATTCAAAAGAATGACTTCCTGGTCAAAATTGTCAGTGGTGTCCTGGAGAAAGAATCATTTAGTCAGTAACCTAGCTTCATAGTTATTCACAGTCATCCTTGACATTTGACCTTCAAATATGACCTTGACCTTGTAGCCATTGTAATAAGTTATGCAAATTTCATAATGTTTATCATCTCAGCTAGTCATGAATGGCACAGCTAAATAAAGTTACACATTATCATGTTTAAATTATTTCAGTTGAAACTCTATAAGTGATTTGGACAAGTATAAGCAGGAAAATTATGTCTATGACCTACTTTCAGATGTGCATACAAACCCCATAACATACCGCTTCTTCCAGAAAGAAATCAAAAATCTTGTTACAAAAAAAAATAAAAATATTACAGACACATGTTGCTAATCTTCAAATTATGTAAACAAGTACAAAAACATTTCAAAAACAAAAAACTTCAGAAAACATTTGGTTCAAATAAAATACAAGAGTAATTTCAACAACTTTATATAGCACCAATTTCTCTGATAAGAGTGAAAAAAACATCAGATAATCTCAGCAGTTTTCAGGAAAACCAATAAAATTTATAATTTACTGCCAGTCCCAAGCGTTTCTTCTCTTGTTGCGACTAACCTGGTTCCCAGCATGAAGCATGGAGTCGAATCTTTGATAAAAATCTTTTTTCTTCCTCAATATTCAGAGATTTCTGCATTATCATTATTTATAACAAGCAAATTTTATCTCTTTGAAAAAGCACACCAGTCATTGTTTATTTTTGTTTATTTTTTTTAAATTGAAAGATATTTCATGATGTGCTGCATGGTAATTTATTTACATTAATCCATGAAAATACACAAAATCCACCATAATCACAAAAATCCACTGTAATTATCTCACTTTATAAACCTTATGGCACATGAGATGCTTTGATCTTAGAAGAAAAAAACTTTTAGATGCAAGAATTTACATAACCTGATACCATGACTATGATGAAAGCAAATTACATAACAAAACTGTGGTAATCATGCATTCAATGTTCTTTTCAAAATTCATTTCAAATGTAAGACAAAACCAATAACCCATAACCTTCTAACTTTTTCATAATGGATTTGCCCGTCTTTGAATTCGAACAGTCCATTACAAAAATTCAGCAATTTCATTGTCAAAATACAAAGATTGGGCTATGTAACACCGCACTTTTGGGTCCAACACACTTTAGGGTCCAATTTTGACCCTTTGTCAACCCCAAACTGCAGTGATACAGAGCTACAAACAGTATCAATCCAAGTCCAAAACTTACAAATGTTAAACTTAAAACATTATTTAAGACTTACCCCTGAATTTGTTGCGTCTATAGGATTTGCTGGTACAACTTTTGTTGTCCAATTTAAAGCTCCTGTAACTTTTGTTGTGTCAAGTAATACCACATCTGAAAACAGATCAGAAAAGACAAAACATTAAGTTGTAATAATTGATGATCAAAGGGAAGACATTTATAAACTTTAAAATATATTAACATTATATGATATATTTTAAAATACTGTATTGACATCGTATTTTATCTTTTACTTTTAATCATAGGAAAGACGTATTATAAATGTGTCTGCCACTGGGCACTGTCGTATTTTGCACAGTTACATAGGTGTATCATTTTTTATAAGTACGTACAATATGATACTAGCTGACTATTTTTGAGTACAATATGATATTAGTTGAATCACTTTTGAGTACAGTATGATATTTGTTGAATCATTTTTGAGTACCATATTTTGGTATTTGTTAAATCATCTTTGAGTACAATATGGTATAAGTTAAATCATTTTTAAGTAACCATTTTTTTGACTACAATTTAAATGTGACTGCCTCATACAATACAATACTGATAACATCCTTTTTTAGTACAATACGGTATTTGATGTATCATCTTAAGGTACAATTATATAATGATCTTAATTGCTTATATTTTTAGTACAATATAATGTTGATAGCATTGTAACTTTTGAGTACAATATGGAGCTAGATTTTTCTTGTCCTTAGGGTCAATTCCACTTTAAACCGGTACTCAGGGAGGTGCAGGCTCCTTCTTTATTTTGGTTATAGCTCTCTCAAGGGATTGCCCTATTTAAGTTTTTTTACTACTGACTATTAAGATAATAATATCATTTTTTATGACACATGCAGTAGACACGTTTCATCACTATTTTCATAAAATCTAAGGACTTTGGTAGTTTTTAGATAAGTTAAAATACAGTACATTGAAACATATTAATAGTTTCTGTCTGTTCTCCCTGAATACCTATCAACGTTTATCATCACCGAAAACAATAAAAGAAAATTTATCTCATGAAGAGGTACTCATTTGTCTACGGGGTCAGGCTTGAAGAAAATTGCCATTGATTTCTCTACATGTAACAATGTTTATTTATGCCCTGGACTTTCCATTAGGATATGCACGCGCTGACGATTCATGGATTCGTAAATAATTCTGCCTGATAATCAATTGAAATTATCCGCTATAGCGATATTTTATGGGAACCCTATTGAACTCTTCCTTTACTAATGAAAAGCTACACTAATTGTCGGAATCTTCACGTAAACTAAATGCGTTTTATGTGTATCATTATGTCTCCAGTTGGCAATAAGCTGCGTTGATACGTAGTACAATTACATATCACACTTTTGTTCTATCCTTCATCTACGCTTTACATCTTTTACTACAGCACTTTCGGTTCAATTCAAATTTCATTAATGAACTCCTATTTAAAATCACAGGCACACGTCAAATTAGGTCAAATTAGACTATGCCGAGAGATTCATTAAGGGAAATTCGCAAAAGTTGACTAACACAACATTGGAAAGTAAGCATTCCGAGTAAAATGATTTACCGCTGTCAAATCAGTACTATTTCTTTATTCTCCACTAAGAAAATCAATTTTTGTATTGGTATAATTTTCATGTCTAAATTTATTTCAGTCCATATTGTATTAATCTGAATGACAAAAATCTAGTATTCTTTCTTCTAAATTGTAAATTATTTATTATATCCGATGATTTACAAGAAGAAAATGTTGTACAAAAAATTGACTTAACATTATTTTCTTTGTAAAGCCAGGTGCATTATTAAATGATGATACAAAAACCCAGTTTTCATTTTTATAAAATTCTTCTAAAAATAAAACATACATAAACTTCAGTCACTTTTGGTCTAACAAAATATTTTAAATGTATTTTTTTACACATTTAATTTGCAACAGGTTTTCAAAAGTTGAAACTCTAGTGCATGTGAGCACAAATAAATCTGTCATGGTTTATTGCCCTGTTTATTGCACCTCATTGTGATTTACAACCGAAGGTAAAAACACTAGAGTGGGGGTATAAAACTTTTGAGGGAGAAATTTTCACACTTATCTAAAAACAATATATTTACATGAAGTAGCAATTGGCGATCATTTATCACCAATAAGAAAACGCTTGCAATCTATGTAAAGAAACACTTGAAATATTGCCTGCTTTTTCAGGTATATTTCCATTACTTGACGAATCAAAATTATACCCTTGAAAATTTCTCCTAAAAACTTTTCCCATACTTATTTTTCCTGCAATTCTAAAAATAGACATGAAATCACACTTTAAATGCCATATAATTGCCCTGTAAATTAAAGTTTAAATGAAAATTTTAAAACAAAAAACCAATACACAATAATCGTCTGTACTGCATGACCAAATGACATCAATTACACTTTCAGGTTAGTTTTTGTCCCAGGCTGTCTCAAATTATAAATGTCAACCATTCAAATGAAAACAGAAAAAAAAAGAATACACAACTTGGCAAGCACTATAAAATGTCTGTTTCACAATCTCAAGGGTCAAATGTTCTCTTTGTTACAATATTGGAATTTAACTGGTTTCTAAATTTTCAAATTATTCTAAAACTTCTTGCCAAAAAAAAGGAGAATGTAACAGTGCATTTGGGACATGTTAAAGTCTCAAATACCAATGGAATTTCAACAAAATTTTCGCAATACAAGAACCTCCATTGATTTCAATGAAGCACTAACTACAGACATTACAGGGCAGTCAAAGAATGTTAGGTCAGAAAACTAGACAGCAATTTGGGCTATAGTGGTTGCCAATATCTACTAGCCCAAGTACGTAATTTTACCAGCCCAAAATTGTAATAGACTTTTCAAGTGGAATGTGAAGTTAAGAATAATAATTAATACAGTCAATTCATAAAGTTAAATATCAAGGGAGAACAAATGAGTCAGGACAGTTCAATTTGAAATTCAATCATTAATACAGTGATTAGCAGGCCAGTCAAGCTACTTGGAAAATTTTATGGGCCCGACCCAAATTCTACTTGCCCTTGGCAAAAAGCCTTTAACACTGTACGTCATTTTTATCAGAATATGCAGACTGAACATTTGCATAACATTTAGCCTTTTAGGTTTATTATTTTACGCCAAGTTAAAAATGGGCAAATATTCATTGATATCCAATCACAATACCTGACACAGTCAACATGCAGTCTCAGACTCTTTGATTGCAGTTTCTTGGAAACTGTAATTTATCCACAATCTTTAATAACTAATTGTTTAAGTGCCTACTAAAATTTCTATATTCTATAAATAAAAGCTCATTAGTAAAAAGAGATCTGAGATAAAATATAATTATGCTAGCTGCATATATACCGGTACAAATAAAACCATAATTTCTTTTTTAAAATAATTTTCGTGTGTTTCTCTTGCCTTTAATTCTTTTTGTTTTTTAATGTAAAATATAATGTATGTTTACTGTGAATTTTAATTAATCATTCCTGAATTCCCCCATATAAATTCATGTGTTGTGTCAGTACCTGGAGCTCCCTAAGGTTTAAACAAAATCCTTAAATCTTTAAAACAAATTTACCTAAGGCCACAATAAAAACAATTTCGCCCCAATCTGAAGAAATTCAAATAATTTTTCAAATACTAAGCAAACAAGTTCTTCATGCAATACAAACAAGAACTGAATAAATCAAGAGTTTTTTTTTCTCATAGTTTCTTTACATGCAACTAGACAAACCATTTTTGACAGATCTTTTATCGCTTGATGTTATATCAAATTCCCCAACAACAAGAGACATAGTGTTCATTTGAAAAGCCACAGACATAACTTTCTGTCAAACATTTTCTTAAATTTCACCATCATCTTAACATCACGAGAAGTCGTGCAAAATGCATAACCCTCCTTTCTTTTAAAATCACCACAGCAATAAATAAACATCATGTTTCAAAGTGACTTAATAATATACTTCTATTTAACCATGTTGATATGTTATGTAACTTATGTTTCTCATAATTGTTTATTATAATTTAACCTCTAGATTGATTCTATCCATCAAACCAGTGGCCAGACAAAGATCAACCAGTATTCAGGAACCAGTCAGCAAATTCAGGAACCAGTCAGCTCATTCAGAAACCAGTCAGCAAATTCAGGAACCCAGTCAGCAACATTCAGGAACCACAGTCAGCACATTTAGGAACCAGTCAGCAAATTCAGGAACCAGTCAGCAAATTCAGGAACCAGTCAGCACATTCAGGAAGCAGTCAGCACATTTAGGAACCACATTCAGCAAATTCAGGAACTAGTCAGCACATTCAGGAACCAGTCAGCAAATTCAGGAACAAGTCAGGAGTTCAGAAAGTGATCAGGAAATTTAGGAACCGGGATCAGAAAATTCAGGAACCAGTCACAAGTCTTTGGAATATAACAAGAAACCATCAACAAATGGCAATCGATTCCAGTTTTTCTTAATTTCTGAGTATTTAAAAGCTAACAAATGAAATTTACTATCTTTACAATCATACATGATTAAGATTTTTTTTCCATATAAGTTGGCTCTCTTTGCCACAAGGCACGACTTACAGTCTGCCCTTACAATCTAATTACGGGACTTAGACATCAGCTTGTTCATAAGCACATTAGAATATTGCCGTTAAATTGAATTGTATTTGTCTGGTAACAAACTATTTTCAGTCATTATCACAGCATCTTGGAGAAAAACATTAATCTAATAGATTCCTTCCCCATCATACATCTTGGACAAGGATGCAAAAATCCTCAGCTTTCTGCTTTGCAAAATGCAAGTATTGCTTTATTGACCTTTCAATTTATGCACCATTCTTCTCATGTAAGACATTTAGTAGTTCTCTCTCAGTCTGTATGTGACATCTATAAAAGATTTGGAAATTTCAGACCTGGATTCGAACATTTTAATGCTTCAATACTCATGCAGCCATAAGTTGCTATCTTATGAGGATAATTTAAACTTACTCAGGCAACTGGTGGCCAAGTGGTCTTTTAAAGAGGTAACCAAGAGATTGTGAGTTCAAGCAATTTCTCTGACATCAACAAAATTAATAATTTCAAGTAAGTAGGTTGGGAGGT